ACGCACCCTTTACTACTTAAAGGCATTCTATTTTAGAATACATAAAATGTTGAGCAAAAATACGTTTTGTCTCAGCTATGTTCAATTACATGAAAAATGCCTATTTTTAACACTTATTTGTTTTCACTGTATTACGTTATGGGGAAATTTAGATGCCAATTTTTCCTTATTATACACAAATAGAAGATCCTGAAACTTCACCCATAAATGTGGAATTGATTTGTCAAAATAAAAATCACCCTTTTATAAATGTGTGACGATCTATAATATACTTATGCTATATAACAGTTAGAGGTGTTGACACAACGACCTCGAACCTGTGAACCCTTGAGTATTATACCGGGATCGGGCCTTTTATACTAAACGGTGAGCAACACCAGAAACGAGCCTTCGATTTGCTAAACGATATGCGTCACCCTTTAAGAATTTCCGTTAAAATACTTAAATGTCCCGTATTTTATATGAACAGTTCCTATTTGAGTAAAAAACAAAACAAATCCGCAATAGACTTGTCATGTCAGTTTTAAATATTTATACTTTTTGCTAAATACACTTATCTTCTTAGTATAACTTTCTTTATGCACATTTAACACGTTACTCACCTTTTAATCAAATTCAGTATGGCCCAAGTGTAATTACATCTAAGTTTGAAACTACAGTTGTCTCTTGTTCTCCTATAAATACTTTGTATTTTAAAAGTTGTCCAAATCAGAATTCATCAAATGTCATGGAAAAACGTATATGTGCGTTTCATTTAAACAAATATTTTTAAAGAATGTAAGGTGTTTTTTATGACGCACGGTAGAACTAATGGTTATACGAGGAGTGGTTCAAAAGTAATGGATACAATGTCGTATTGCTTGAGAAAGTCCTGCGCAACTTCGGTGAAAAGCTTTGGGATCGACGTTGCACCCATAATTTTCATATTCCGGTCAAAATTTACCATCCCCTGTATTGTAGAGTAGGATGCGTGTGTAGCCTATCAATTGATGATTTGCGATCACCGAATGGATTCTGTCTTTTAGTGACGTCATAATTAGGTCACACAGCTTTAGATGCTTGATTTTGAGAGATTATCTTCTATATTTCGTGCTTTATTGATTTATTTTTCACGAAAGCGTTCTATTTGACTAGATCAACATTCATGCTAAGCACATACCAAGTCTAAGGTCTTACTGACATGATTTAGATAGCGGTTTAGCGCCCCCCCCCCGATTTTGACAAAAACGGGGGGCGCTTATAGGCATCGATGTTTAGTATGAATTTCACCCAAACTTCGCATATATATAAACATACTCATGATCTAGTCAAATAGGCATACCTGGTAAATATCCGACCCATGGTTTTTATATAAGAAACGACAATATTTTTAGCTCAAAACTGCCACGTGTCCGCCATTTCGTGATTCCATCATTTATCACATGCTCTGTAAAATTCCAGTAATCTGATTGGTTGATTACCGTGTGAGTTTTCCCGTCTCACACGGCCGTCTCATACGTTACTAGAGGCAACCAGTGATGATCGATAGCAACGATGTGACGTCACTGATTATATCACTTCTAGCTAAGGAAAACAATATGACGTCATACTATTTCACAAACAAGTACGAATACAACGGTATGACGTCATATTGTTTCAAAGCGAAATCAAAAATTATAATAGTTACCAGAAGTACACGGGGTTCTGAACACAATCATAACTGACCAAATCAAAATGCTTCAAAATTCCTAGACATGTGATAAAATCGTCATCACACGTTTCAGCTTATGTGATACAGGAAATATTTCACTCGGGTAACAATGTATCACCACTCAAGCTTCGCTTTCGTGGATGATACAATATTACCTTTCGTGGAATATTTCCTGTATCACATGCTGAAACGTGTGATAACTGATAGTCTAATATCATTTCTATATGACGTCATACCAATAAGACGAAATACGTGACAACAGTATCCATAAACAAAATTCCTGAATTCTGATCGCAAAAGGTCAATCAAGGGCGTTACAATACCCGGGAATTTATCGGTTCGTGCAGTACTTGTTTGTGATAGCGCCCTCTGTAGGTCACTGTGCTTATAGCCTACAGTAATACGGGGTAGGATATCGGGAATTCGGTCAGTTTCTATCCGTCAATTTCGCTATGAATTGAAGCAAGTGTGACCACTTTATCCACTTAAAGGACAACTGAAATAGCTTTTCTCAACTTGCAGCTACAAAAATGCGGTTTTCTCCTTTGTAAGCCCAACGTAGAGTTCTTGCGATAGTCATTATAAAATAAATGTTAGATAACTGCTAACGGTCATAAATAACGAAATAAAACTAACTGATCAATCAAATTGGCCCCCACGTGATAAGTAACGTCATATACAAAATATAGCTTTGGTTTATTGGTTCCTTAGTAATCACAACGTCACGGCAACCATAGGATTGTAGTGTAAACCAAAACAAAACATTTTGGCATTATGACGTTATGGGCCATGTGGGGACCAGTGAGAGATCACGTGGGGGCCAATGGGGTCAACCCAGTTGTCCGAAACCCAGTTGTCCGAAACCCAGTTGTCCGAAACCCAGTTGTCCGAAACCCAGTTGTCCGAAACCCAGTTGTCCGAAACCCAGTTCTCCGAAACCCAGTTCTCCGAAAATTAAAAAATTAAATGTCTTAGTAACGAATCTTGTCGCAACTTCGCGAATCAGGACAGCATTGGTATCACGTTGACATCGGTTAGCCCGGTCAATAATGGGTCCGAAAGTTCACGATCATATATATATTCTTACAAGATCCTCGGCACATAGACTTATATGGACATTCTACAAATTTTGAACCGCATTGTCCAGCACGAATCGCACTCCTTCTTGGTGAAAATTCAAGACTGCCGCCAACATTTGATAATTTTTTCATTCCCTTTTCTCAATAAAATATGGTTAATTATGTTTTCCAATATCAATTGATAATATTTCTACCCTGAAAAATATCTAAAAAGAAGATTTTGGTTGTTCAGTACCACCCATTGATTTCGTCCAAATTTTCGATAAATCAATAAAATATGCTCATTTCGTATAACTTATATATGTGGCATATATACATATCAGATGTCTATCCTTTTTTCATCATAATATAAGAGGTTTGTATGTTTTAGTAGAAACGTATTCCTTTCCAAACATTTAGATTTAAGAATTTCTCCCATTGGTGATATTGTTCAAAATCAAAACTGCGTTTTTGTTTTTGCGATATATTGAACTGTTGAAGTAAGTGTGTAATAGTTTGTAGTAGAGCCAAGCTTTGATCTGTATCATGTACGTACCCTGCATAAAAAAATTCGTTTTTAGTGTGCCATAGATGTCAACCATTAACTATTGCAGAATCAAAAAATGTTTTGTGAGTTTTAATTGCCCAAAAACTGAGTATCAAAATGCATTTGTATCCCTTTAGTATCTTGCATGACTCGTTCATATGAATTCTTTATTTCTACCTCGTTCCTTATACATTCTGAGACAGTTCAACCTTTGCCCCACGTCATGTTCGTCGTTAGTATGTTGTCACTCGATATAATAGTATAGTTTCCATATAGTTTTTGAAATCTCGCTAAATCTCGTTTTTCGTGAGATTTTAAGAGACTTGCATATTAGACCTCTAATGACTTACATTACCTTCTTTTAAATGGCATATTTGAATTCAGTGAAATGTTTTCTCCTTTAATAGCTTTGATTTACACAGTTATGTAATTTGAATAATTTTCTATGACAATTTAAAATAACTTGGGCCAAATGTCCATAGATGCAATGCTAAAATTCTTTAAATCCGTGGATTATTTGTATGTCAATCAACATTTGCATGTTTAATCACATCATGTACATAAACAGGGTCATCATGTGGTATATCATTCAAGTTTTATACAGATTCAACAAACACACTTTGATAAATCATGAAATTAAGCCATTTTCCAAGATTTTAACATGTAAATGAATGGAGCTCTAGCCCAAGTTAAAAGCTGAATAAAAGATGGCAGCACGAGATTTCATTGATTTTTCTGCTATTTAGAAACTATCCTATTGCCACGCGGTCCTAACTTCGACCGTTAATTTGAATTTTTGACCTACCGGATATTTGAAAATCAATTACGAGTCTCATACTGCACCGTTTTTCTTCAAACTTGTTCCATTCAAAGCATGACAAAAATCTCTTTCTGATGGTACGTTATTATCTTAAACAGAGTTCCTACTTCCAGCGTAATTTTGGTCCCCAGCTGTAAGAAGGCCTTCTAACAGCTGGGGAGTGGGGACCAAAACGCTGCTAGAACGAGGGACTCTTTACAATAAAGTAATGCACTGACAGAAGTGCAATTTTGTTTTGCTTTTAATGGTATAATGGAAGAAAAACGGTGCACTATGAGACTCGCAATCCTTGATTTTCAAGCATCTGGTAGGTCAAAAATTCCAAATAACGGTCGAAGACCGCGTGATTGCAGAAAGTCAGAGACAGCACTCCTTTTTTCTTTTTAAATCATGTATATATTTCTTATTTTATAACTTTGTATACATCAGGTCATTTTACAATATTGCAATATTTTTTTTAAATAGATACAATTGCAATTATTTAAAACATTATTACAATAGTTTACAAATATAATGTAACATAAGTTGTTTAACCATTCATCAAAATAAGTATACTTAGTGTCTTGTACCTTATAGCCAAAGACAAGAGTTTTATACTTTTTCAAGCTTAATTCAATTTTAAAATCATCTAAAATATAATTGTCAAGTGGGTCTATTACATTAGTAGGCCTACTCTATGATATTGAAAGAACAAATGTTTATAGTATTCGGGCGAACCCCCCCCCCCTGGCCAAAAATTCTTTCAAAATCGTGCAGTTTTTCACCATTTTAGCACTTTTCAAGTGATTTTGACCATATTTGGGCCTAAATTGTCAAATGTGAACCCCCCCTGGAAATTTTTGAAAACTGAACCCCCCCTTGGCAAATCCTGGCTACGGGCCTGATTCTACTTGTCTGAAAATATCACACTTGTCATTACAATTAGTTTCCATCATGATCTTAGGAGTCACTGGTGAACCCAGAAAAAAGCCTAAAAAGACCCTTTTGGTCAATACTGGGCCTTTTAAGGCCTTATATTTCAATTTCAGGCCAAATTTTTAAGAAAACGGTCCTCAAAATTTCAAAATTTTGGCCAACTTTTGGGTTTTAGGGAAGTTTTTTCTCTGACCTGAATTTGCCCCCCTTGTTGGTTCCCAGATCCGCCCCTGGAAGTAATTGTTTGCATGGTAGAATGTAATGTAAACGTTTGTATTTGAAATTGGCCACTTTTTATTTTTGGATCGCTTTAAAAGAATCCAAGTATGTTGAAACAGCATTTGACTATTTTGAATTTCACAAAGATTAATTCAAAATGATTCCAAATATGTTTAGTTGCTATAAGTTCCAGCAAGATTGAATATACAGGGTGTCCGGAAAGTAAAGATACAAATACTCTTATTTTTAGAAATTTGGATTTTTTGAAATGAAATTGCTACAGATTGTAGAGAAACAATATTACAATATATCTACCAACTTTCATCACATATAGTCTAAATGTGTTTAAGTTACGGTTGTTATGGTTACGGATGTGAGGGGTATGTGGAGCAGTTCCAGAACAACGATAAAAGTGAAAAATTGCTAAAAGACAACCATTTGAAACAGTGTTTTTTTGTTGTATTTTTTATCTTTGTTTTTTATGTTCATCATTGGATTATTGCTGCCATAGTGTTTTCTTTTGTATAATGATATCATTGCTACATATCAGAACTATGTTAT